GGGGGTTGATGGGGGCAGGGGTGCTGGCTGAGGGGCAGCGGGGGGAAGGATGGGCGCCCCGGCAGGCTTTGGCTGTGAGGAGGCGTTGGGCAGAGTTGGGCAAGGACACTGGGGGGGCGCCCCTCTCCCTTGTGGTCCCCTCACCCCTGGACAGACACACACAGACTCGCCCTAGGTGGCGCTATCCCAGCCACGCTCTTTAATCAGCTAATAAATAGTGGGGCGGGGCCCAAGCCCCGTAACACTGAGGATGAGGAGGGAGCAGATGGCGTGCAGGCTGGTTGGGGGGCTCACACACACACACAGCCCCCGCCAGCAGCGGCGAAGGACAAGAGGCCCAGGCCAGGAGACAACGACCCAATGCCTGGTGGGTACCGAGCCCTCTGGGAATCGAGTGTTTGGAGAAGGGGGCAGAGCCATGGGCAGTGCCCCTGGCACCGCATGGAGCCTGCCCCAAGGGTGCCCCTGCTCTAGCACAGAGAGGACCCAGGAGTCCTGGCTCCAAGGTAGGGGGGTGGGGGAACTGCCCTGGCCACTCCCCACAGTAACACCGTGCAGCTAGACCACTTAGAAAGTCAATTCCTAGCCCAGGCTGGATGGGTTCCCCCAGGCCACGACAGGCCCCCAGCCAGCAGACACGGGGGCTGTACCCAGCTGGCAGCCGCAGTCCAGCCACCATTGTCCTGGGTTGCAGACAGAGGGCGGATCAGGGGGGGCAGAGCCGGCCCCCTGGGGATCCTCCATGTGTCCCACGGTGCGGCCTCCACCTAGCTGTCACCACAGAGACCTGCTCCGCCAGGGGGGTGGCAGGAGAGCAGGGCAGCCCAAGCCAGTGCTGACGCCAGCTAATGGCCAGGTGCTGCTGACCCAGCAGGAGAAGCAGACCCTGGGAGGCGTCCAGGCGGCGCTGACCCGGCCAAGGGAGCCAGCCGGCAAAGGGCGTCCAGGCGGCACCGACCTGGCCGAGGGAACTGGCGCTGACCTGGCCAAGGGAACCGGATGATGAGGGGCGTCCAGGTGGCGCTGACCCGGCCAAGGGAGCCAGCCGAAGGGGGGCATCCAGGTGGCGCTGACCTGGCCAAGGGAGCCAGCCGAAGGGGGGTGTCCAGGTGGCGCTGACCCGGCCGACGAGGGGCGTCCGGGCGGCGCTGACCCGGCCGACGAGGGGCTTCCGGGCAGCGTTGACCCGGCCGAGGGAGCTGACCAACAAGGGGCGTCCGGGCGACGCTGACCTGGCTGAGGGAGCCAGGCGGCGCTGACCTGGATGAGGGAGCCGGCCTGCAGGGGGCGTCCAGGCGGCGCTGACCCAGCTGCAGTCTCAGATCCAGCTCAGTCTTCCGTGGCCCCTGGCGGCCAGCACAGCTTCAGGAGATGGTGTCAGCCTGGCCTGGCTCCGGGGGCGGTTCTGCCATCATGATGCCCTGGTGCAGCTTCTCCAGGGAGACCTTCATCTGGGGGGGGCAGGAAAGGTACCAGTTATTGCCGAACGGCCGACAGCCAATGAAGAGGGCTTCAGCCTTGTAGTCCTGGCTCCCACCCCACCCCTCCCCCCATCTAGACTACACTCCCCTCAGAGCAGGGAGAGAACCCAGGAGTCCTGGTGCCCAGACCCCCAAACACACTAACCCCACTCCCCTCCCAGAGCTGAGGAGAAAACCCAGGGGTCCTGGTTCCCAGCCCCTCTACTCTAATCAGTAGATGACACTTTCCCCAGTGACTCCTCTTTCCTTGGGCTCCCACTAGGGTCCTGCTGCCAGGCAGGGGGTGCTCCAAGTAGCTCTGGGTGCAAGACTCAGGGGCTGGGTGACTGCACATTAGTTCTGCTGGCCCCAGGCTCTGCACGAGCAGAGCTGCAGGCCTCCCTGAGCAGGGACCCAAAGAGCCGAGCGAGCCTGGCCCGACCCGGCCCAGCAGCATCACCTCATCCAGCAGCTCCACAGAGGCCTCCAGGATCCGCCTCCACTTCTGCACCTCAGCACCATGGAAACGCCGCTGCAGCTCTAGGACCTCGGCCCACTCGCCTGCTGTCCGAGGCAGCTTCCTGGGGAGCAGGGGGTCACTGCCAGCTGAGATGGGGATTGCCCCATCTGCCCCAAATGCCAGCTGCTGGGACCCCTCCCCTGGCACCTCAACCCCACTTCAACAATACCCAACCCCCTTGCCCCCAGGATTGCCCCCATCACCTTGGCCTGTGTTCCCCATACTACCCCCTCCCCCAATGCCAGAAATCTCCCCATTCCCCTCCCTGGCAGCCCCCCCCCCGCCGGGATCACTCACCCTCGGGCCAGTGCGGAGGCCTGCCAGGCCTGGAAGGCGCGGGCCGTGTGCTCCAGCGCCCACAGCCGGTATAACAGCATCACATTGAGAACCACCAGGACCAGCAGGCTGGGGGGAGAGGGAGGATGAGGGGCTGGCAGAGCCCCACCACAGGCCTGATGCTGGTAAGGGTCACCCAGTATCCCTAGGACACAGCCTTGTGTACATGGGGCAGAACCCAGGCATACTGGTTCCCAGCCTCCTGCTCTAACCGCTACACCTCACCCCCACCCCCTCCCAGAGCCGGGGAGAGAACCCAGGAGTTCTGGCCCCACCCCCCAGTTACATGTGTGGCTGTCTCAGGCCCCATCTCCCTGCCCAGAACATGCTCAAGGCAGACTGTCAGATTTGCATACTGTGCTCTGATTGGTGGGGTCTGGAGCTGAAGCCTGCCATCACTCGGCATGTCAGTGGTATGTTGGCCAATCAGAGCGCAGTATGCAAATCATGCCACCTCAGCCAGTGCTCCAGAGAAATGGGAGCTCAGAACACTAGGGACGGGGCTCAGCAGGGCAGGGCTGATGCTGGGGGGAGGCAGGGATGGTGCTGGGGGGGTGTCTGGGGGCACAAAGGGGGCAGGGGGTCCATGGCAGCCAGCGGGACATGGGCGGGGGGGGGTCACACTGTACCTCACACAGATCCTGTGAGGCAGCAGAGACAGAAGGAAGGAAAGAGACACGTAAGTCCTCACCCCTGAGAATCATCCCATAACTCCCTCCACATGCAGCCCCCCATCCCATACACAGCCCCCTCTTCTTACACAATCCCTCCTCCACACACAGTCCCCCCCGCCCCGCTTCTCCCACCAATAGCCCCTGTCTGGCCATACAGAGAGCAGCTCTCATCCCCCACCCCAGTCCAACTCCTACATCCCAACTCGGGAAAGTGTCTGTGGCTCTGCCCCCAGGGGTACCCCTGCTCTGCCATACCCCCTCACATCACCCACAGAGCTGAGCCTGAGCCCAGCCCTGGATGGGTGTGACCCAAATCCTGGACCCTCCCCACACAGAGCTCCACCCCCCCATTATTCCCATCAGAGCCCTGCCCCAGCTCACCACATTATGCCCCCCAGAGCCCTGCCTGGCCCCCCACATCACTCCTTCAAAGAGCCCCAGACCCCATTAGTCCCATCCCCCCATAGCTCAATCGCCCACCCCTGCCTCCCCATAGCCCAGCCCCGCATGTCCCTTACACCAGGCTGACAATGAGGATGAGGGTGGACACGGTGGGGCCCCGGCTCCGCTCCATGAGCTGCTGGGAGAGTCGGGCTGCCAGGCTGCCTGCGGGGAGAGGGGGCAGGTTAGGCGGGGACCAGGCCAGCCCCATGGGCCCAGGAGTCACTCCCCATAGGGGAATGCAGCAGCCCGTCTCCCATTCTCTGGCAGGGAGGAATAGCTGCCCCTGCAGGCTCCCTGATGGGGGGATCATCGGGGACAAGGCATGTTCCCCCTTACCAGGGGACGGTGATGAGGGAAGGCTCCAGACAGGGCGATGGGGATGCATTCCCCATTACCTGGGGGTGGGGGACAGGGATGGGGACGAGTTTGAGGGGGCAGGTTCCCTTTGGGCTGGAGATGGGGCTGGGGTGGGTTCTGGGGGCAGGATACAGGAGGGGGCACATTTCCTTTGGGTGGGTTGTGGGTGGAGGGTTGGGGGCAGGTTCCCCTTTACCCGATGGGGGGGGGCAACAGGTTCCCTCTGGACATGGGCTGGGATGCGGTGGGTTACAGGCAGGGGCAGGTTTTCCCTTACTGGAAGGGCGCAGGGTGCGGGGCCCCGTCTCGCTGGGGGGCAGTGTGGCCAGGGTGGGCTCAGCATGGGGGGCCCTCCAGCCCAGTGTGCGCTTCCTGCGGCGCAGCCCAGCCAGCAGCCCCCGCGGCTCTATCCCATGGCCACTCTCCTCCAGCAGCGTCTTCTCCGCCCGTGCCAGCGCCAACCCTGCAACACCAAGGGGGGTGAGACACCCGTGCCAGCCCCGCCATGCCGGGGGGTGAGATGCCTGGGGGGGGCACATGCACCCCGTGAAGCCCAGAGGGAGAGAGCCATGTGGAGCCCAGGGCCCATCCAACTGTGTCCCTCCAGCTGCCCTCAGCCCAGCTGTCACCCCCACCCAACCAATGGATTTATTGGGAAACCCCCTCCCATTGGCAGCCTGCCCTGCCCAGCCCCCTTCACGTCACCTCCCCAGCCCCCTCGCTTCACCCGCCCCCCTCCTCCCACCGCTCATGGGATATGACGCAGTGAGAATTTTCTTAGTATTCTGTTGGGTGCTGGACGTGCCTCAGTTTTCCCAGTGTGCTGCATGTTTACCTAGCTGGAGGGAAAGGGGGTTTAATTTTGCAGAGACCCAGAGAACCAGGTGGGACTGTTGAATGGCTGCCTGGACCCAGACAATGGCTGGACATTTTGTAACTCAGCAACTGATAACCCAGGGGCTACAGCCAAAGAGAACAAAGCTGAGGTGGAGGCCAGGTGACCCTGTTTGCCCTGAAGGGGAACAAAGGATGGAGGAGGGGCAGCTGGGCATGACTGAGGGTGGGCTGCTGGAAGCGGGGCTCAGCCTCCTGTTGGGGGTCCCAGGTGGAGATCAAGGCTTGGAGCTCTGGGTCTGACCAAGATGGACGTGGCTGGAACTTCCTGGGTTCGGTGCTAACAAAGAACTTGCCTACGCTGTGCTCCAGATGGCTGATAAACCTTCTGTGTCACATGCTGGCTGAGTCACTGTAACTGCAGAGTTGGGGTGCAGGGCTCTTTGGGGGCATGTGAGGCTTCCCCAGGTGTCACATCCAGGCGGACTCCTTGTGGGGAGCTCAGTGAGGAACAGGGGGCTAAATGCTCCGAGCTCAGACCCAGGAGGTGCTGAAGCCAAGGAGGCTTCTTGCCCCAGTGAGAGTGTCAGGGGGTGTTATACTCAAGAGGGTCCTGCCTGGGTTTGATTCAGAGCTGTTCAAAAGCACCGAGCCTGTGACACGGCCCCCCTCACCCAGCCCCCCTCGCCTTGCCTGCCCTCCGCCTATGTCACCTCCCTCGCCTCAGCCGCCTGCGCAGCCCCGTCCACATTGCCCCCCAGTAGCCTCTTACCCCCCCCATATCTCCATCCCTGCCCGATACCCTCTGACAGCCCCCACCCCCCACAGGCACCTCCGAGTCCACAGAGCACTCCCAGACTCCAGTGCTGGGCACGCTCTTCAGCACCTGCCCTCTTACCCCGACACCAGCCATCCCTCGCAGTCCCCATCCGTCCCGCCCCCCGTCCCAGGTGCCAGACACCCCGTACCCAGGTGCTGGAAGTACTCCTCCACGCCGCTCCATGTGTTCTTTTCAATCAGGGCTCTCACAAGGTTCCAGGGCTGCTTCCGGTACCGGATCTCGGAGGAGACTCTGGGGAAGGCAGAGTCGGGGGGGGGGGTGTCAATGACCTGCTCCTTGGGGAGCACTGGGGTGGAGGCGAGCTGCCAGGCCAGGATGCTGGGAAGCAGCTCCCTAGAGCAGATGCGGTGGGGGCCTGTTGCCCAGAGATTCCCAGCAGCAGACCCACCCGTCACAGATCCCAAGGCCAGAAGGCACCATTGTGCTCATCTGAGCTGAGCCACCCCTAGCATGGGCCTGCCCTGAACGAACGCCTGCCCCCACCCCACGGCTGCAGCAGAGCTTCAGCGGGGTCCTGGCTCCAGCTCTAGTCCCCCAGGGCCAAGAAAGATCAGCTCCACCCAGGCCGGGGGCTGCAAGACACTCAGGCCGAGCTCCTGAGAGGGACGGGAAGAGCTGAGCTTGGTTATCCCCCAGTGCATGTTGAGAGGCTCCATGTGCACCCCATAAATCCAGCAGGGGGTGGGGGCAGGTCAGGGCACAAGGCCCAGTGGGGCAGGACGGGGCACAAGGCCCAGTGAGGCCGCACTGGGCAAGCACCTGTGGCGGTGGCGGGAGCAGGGCCGGCTCCAGGCACCAGACCACCAAGCTTGTACTTGGGACAGCACCTGGAGGGGGGCGACACGGCGCGGTGCTCCGGCTCCGGCCACCGGGGAGAGTGGAGCCGCAGTGGGCTCGCCGCCCTCCCCCGGCGCTCTGGCTGCCGGGGAGAGCGGAGCCTGTGGCGGGCTCGCTGCCCTCCTCCCAGCGCTCTGGCCTCCGGGGAGAGCGGAGCCCCGGCTGGGCTCTCCGCCCTCCCCCCGGCGCTCCGGCTGGTCGGGGAGAGCGGCCCGCGGCCAGGCTCGGCGCCCTCCCCTGCCTTGGGAGGCAAAAAAGCCAGCGCCGGCCCTGGGCAGGAGAAAATGGTTTCTGATGGCTGGAGGTGGGATGGTCTGTGGCAGCCCCAAGAGCCGGGGGAACCAGTCCTGTTGCAGACAGAGCTCAGGACGTCCCTGGAGGGGGTGCTCAGATGGGGCTGCCTGCCGGGTCAGGGACCTGCCAGCCCTACGTGGGCTTTACAGATGGGCAGTGAGTGGGAATCTGCACAGCCTGGGAGATTGTTCCAGGGCTTAGTTCTGGGCACAGTTCAGTTCCAGGCTGATTTAGTTCCAGCTTCAACTTCCAGCCGCTGGCTGTTCGTGTTGGACTTTTGTCTGCTAGAGAGACGAGCCCAGCACTGGGTGTCTGATCCCAAGCAGCACGGCCAGACAGGAGCCTCACTCTTGACCCTACTCTGGGTTAAGTGAAAGAGCTGGAGCTCCGGAAGCCTCTCCCTCTCAGGCAGGGTTCCTGACCCTTTCCTCATTCTCAGGGCTCTTCCTGGACCCCGCCCCAATTTATCACCATCCTCCTTGGCTTGTGGGCACCAGAACTGGACACAGGGGCCCAGCAGCGTCACACCAGGGCCAAACCTAGAGGGAAAATCACCTCCCTGCTTCTTCTCAAGATTCCCATTTGTGCACCCAGGGCTGCATTAGTCCCTCTGGCCCCAGCGTTGCATGGGAATCCATGTTCAGCTGGTATCTCTTTGGGAGATGCCACGGCTGGCGGCAGGAGGGAACACTGTTGACGTAACACACCTAGATCTTCTACAGCCTTTGACTTGGGACCACACGACATTTGGAGTGACAAACCGAGACTGCTACGAAATCAGCGTGGCCCACACTGAACGCATTCGTGGCCGGTTAACTGACAGGGCCCGAAATGAACCCTGTAAACAGGAACCAGCCCTTGAGGGGGGTGTCTCCAGGGGGTCCTGTAGGGATTGGGTCTCGGCCTGTGCTATTTGCAGCTTTATCAATGGCCTGAAAGAAAACTTCAATTCATCCCTGGTCACATCAGCAGAAGACACAGACATTGGGGAACAGGAAATAACGCAGAGGCCGGATCACTGGCACAGAGCCACTGGGATGGGGGACGCCACAACCCCCAAATCTTTTCACCATCCCTGCTCCACACAGAGGAGGGACAGAGTCCCCCCGGTCTGAGTGTGTGGCCAACGCTCTTTGTGCCTAGCTGGACAGTTACATGGAGACATATTACAAGGCACCATGTGCTCATGGCCAGCTCACCAAGCCGTACTGATTTTGCATCAGTCTCGGTTTGTCACTCTAAATGTCATGTAGTCCCAAGTCAAAGGCTGTAGAGGATCTAAGTGTGTTACATCAACACTGTTCCCTCCTGCTGCCAGCTTTGACATCTCCTCCCAAAGAGATCAAGCTAGCAACAGGATCTATTTTCAATAAACCCATGGCAATTGGCATTAATTCCATCCCCCTCCTTTAATTCGTTATTAACTGAGTCCATATCAGCTGCTCCTTTCTCTCTCCCAGGATTGCTGTTAGGCTGTCAGCCCTATAAGCACCCAGGCCATCCCCTTTACCCTTTTTAAAAGAGTGGCACAACAGTAGTTTTCTCCCAGATCTCTGGAACTTCCCCAGTGCCCCAAGACTTATTGAAAATCAACCTTAATGGGCCAGCGAGTTCCTCAGCCAGCTCCTTTCAAACTCTTGGATGCAAGTTCTCTGGACCTGCTGATTTCAAAGGGTCTGACTTTCATAGTGTGGAGCAGCCCTGAGACAAAGAGAGCCAGCCACCAGAGGAATTCCCAGCACCACTCTCTGGATGGGGGGAGCCCCCCCAAACCCCCAGTGCAGAGGGGCTCTGAGGCGGGGCGGTACCTGAGGCGGGCCGTGCCTGTAGCCAGCGTGCTGATGCAGTAGCGGTGGGCAGTGTAGAAGTAGTCCTGGTAGGGGATGCCCTGCGTGATCACTTCCGAGTCCACCACGCAGGCACCACTATCGGGGCTGGCACGGAACAGGGTCTGGGAGGAGGCCAGCTCTGCTCATCTCATCACAGGCCAGAAACAGCCCTGCATTGTCCCGCCACGCCTGCTGCCATCCTGCACTTGCTACCCACCCCACGGTTGCCACCCCGCCCCAGCAGTCCAGCCCCCCCACGCAGTCCAGCCCCACCCGCCGCCCCGCGCAGTCCAGCCCCCCCATGCAGTTCAGCCCCACCCCTGACCTGCCACCCCGCCCCGCGCAGTCCAGCCCCACCCCTGACCTGCCGCCCCACCCCGCGCAGTCCAGTCCCCCCACCATGCAGTCCAGCCCCACCCCTGACCTGCCACCCTGCACTGCGGAGTCCAGCCCCTCCACCATGCAGTCCAGCCCCACCCGACCTGCCGCCCTGCACTGCGCAGTCCAGCCCCCACACCTGCTGCCCCCTACCATGCAGTCCAGCCCCACTCCATCCAGCCCCCCATCCCGCTGCTCCTTCACACCCTCCTGGGGCTCCGCTGCCCCCTCACCTGTGTCTCCACCACAGCAGCTGCCTTAGGCCCCAGCGGGTTGCTGAGGGGGATGGTATAGGAGAGGACACGGCTCTGGTGGCACTTGCTCTTGCCACTCCATGAGGTCAGCGTCACGTCTGGGGAGAGCAGGGGGTACCATCAGGGCGGGGGCAATCGTCCACTCAGGGGCCTTCCCCCATCTCCCCCCACGCATGCCTCTCATCCCCAACTCCCAGATACAAGGCCCTGCATGGCCCAGTGGGGCACCCGGCAGCATGAGCTGGTGACCCATGTCCTCCAGCCAGCACAGGCCACACGGGTCGTGTGCAGCGCCAGGCATGGGCCTGGTGCCCAGTCCAAGGCCTCCCCTGCGCTGCCGTTGGCAGCTCCCTGGAGCCCAGAATCTCTGAGGGCAGCGGGTCCCAGGTGTTGGGCGATGCCCCACTGCGCTGCCCTCCTGTGCCCACCACACACATGCCCAAGACCCTTGGCCTGGCTGGCGCGGGGTGTGTGCCCTGGGGGTGGAGAGCGCCCTCGCCCTGCACTGGCTGCTCCTGGCCCAGCCCCACTCAACTTCGGGATCTCTGCGAGGCCGCCTGGCCTGGAGCTACCGTGTCCCCTGCCCCATACACCTCGACTCGGGCCAGCAGCGCCCCATGGGTGTCCTGAGGAGTGAGCCAGACCCAGCCCAGCTGTCATCTGGAGGGTGGAAGGGGGCAGCCAGCTTGTGGCCCCAGGGAAGACTCAGCCCCTGCCCTGCCCCACCTGTGAACTTGCGCTGGCCCAAGAAACTCTGCATGAACGGCGAGTCGCTGAAGAGCATCTGCTGCAGCCGCTCGGCCCCCAGGCAATAGACGCAGTTCAGCAGCAGCCGCCCGGGCAGGTCTGAGAAGGCGTCCACCTCCGCTGGGGGGAGAGAGGGGTGAGGAGCTGCCTGGGTCCTAACCCAGTTCTGGGAAGACAGTGGGATCAGAGCAGGCAGGCTGGGAGCCAGGACTCCTAGGTTCTATTCCTGGCTCTGGGAGGGGAGTGGGGCCTAGTGGTTAGAGCAGGGGTCTGGGAGCCAAGATTCCTGGGTTCTCTCCTTGGCTCTGGGAGAGAGGTGGGGCCTAATGGTTAAAGCTGAGGGCTGGTATGTTTGGGCAGGGCTGGGCTATCACCTTCATCCTGCGTGGAGGAGGAAGAGGAGGAGTTGCTGGTGTCAGTGGGGAGGTCCTCATGGGGTAGCAGGTCCCCCAGGGCAGGCAGCGGGGCCCCCCCCAGCACCGCAGCCTTCGGGGGCTCCAGCCCCGGTGTCACTGTGCAGTTGGAGGCAGTATCCGCCTGGCTGTCCACATTCTCCTCGGGGTCCTCTGCCAGCTGGGGGAAGGGAAAGTAAGGGGGGCCCCAACATGGGCCCAAAACCTCCCCCAGCCTTGCCCCTTCCCTTCCCCAACTCCCCAAAGCTCCCCCATCCCCACCCCCTTCCTCCCCAACACCACCCCCACCTCCTATGGCGCTGGCAGCTGGCCAGCTCAGGGCAGTACCTGGAAGAGGGGTTAATTTACTGTGTGTGAGTAACAAAGGGCCATTAACTAGGCTAACTAAGACAAGCCCATGCACTTGTGTTGATAGAAGCCAAGAACTGATGGTAACTGTATTTACCTACATCCTGGTGGCTGTAACCAAATTAACGGGTACCTGAAAATCCTTTTCACCTCTTGTCACTCTGTATTACCTGCACATCCTGTATGCAGCTGTGCTCAGTTGTCAGTAGATGCAAAGGCCTGTAGCTAGCACGGAGTGTGAATTCACTGACCGGAGAACCATTTGGCTAGGGCATGTCAGGGCTATACAGTGTTTACAAGACCGAAGCTTCAGATTGAAGCATTCCATCTTCAAAGCAAGTGTTACTGGGACTTTTCACAGCCTCAAGTGTCCATCACGTGTTGTGACGGATTTTCTGTGTGGACACCTATCCGCTGGCTCTGTGTGCGGGAGAGCTATAAATACACCATTCATGGGCCTGAGCCAACACCTCTGGTCTGCTGAACTCCGACCAGAGAGTCTGAGCCATTGGACTGAGAACGGGACACCCGGAAAGATTCGTGGAAGGACTCTAAGAGATTTATGGAGAATTCACCAACATTAAATCTCTGCTAACAACTGGTCTCATATATTCTCATTCACCTGTAATGTATTTTATCTGCTTTGACTTTGAATAACGCTCAGGTCTTTTCTTAGTTAGTTTTAGACACTAAAGAAAATGGCTACCTGTATTGTCTATGGGGCGATCTGACCTGAGGTAAGTGACGAGTCCTTTAGGACTGGAAGAACCTAATGTGTGGGGAATTTGGGTTTAATCGCCTTTCATCGCAAAGTGCAGGTTGTCTGGGGGGTAATGAGGGGCTAGAATGGCAAGGGACTGTCTGTGTTCCGTGGTAAAACGGGTAGAGTGATCCAGAGGTACGTTTCAGTGCTGGCTTGGTGAAACTGAATGATAGAATACACCCCCAGCCTCGGGTGTCCATCCTATTTTCTGGCCGTCTGTCCTGAGTTTGGCTTTCTCAGCTGTGAGTCACTCCAGGCACCGTGACACCTCCCACAACCCCACCCCCTGAACCTCCCCAGTCCCCCCAAACCTCCCCCGGCCCTGCCCCCTCCCTTCCCCAACTTGCCCCCACCAACCCTTCCCCCCACTCACCGAGGCGGCCCCATCGTTGCTGCTAGCCAGTGAGTGGAAGCTCTGACTAGCGGCTGTCCTGGCCAACGTGGGGCTGGGCTCCAGCTTGAGGTCAGCAGCGCAGGGCAAGGCCAGGTCTCTCAGCTCCATAATGTCACTGAGCTCCCTGGCTGGCCTGGAGGGGGGGGAAGTCACTGAGGCGCCAGGGGTCGCACAAGTGTCAAGGTCACTGGGTCCCGCGGGGTCGGGAATCGCACCAGGGCAAGTCTCGGGGTCAGACACGGGGGGGGGCAGCTTTTCCAGGGGTGGGGGGAAGGGCAGGCACCAGCTTATCCCAGGGGGGCAGGGGCTTCCCATTCGACAGAGGTCCCAGGGTTCCCAACACCTCGGGTGGGGCCAACCTACTCCCGAGGAGACAGCTCCCTGCCAGCTCCCCCTTGGGCAAGAGGACCCAGACTCTCTCATGGGGCGGTGGGGAAGGTGCGGGTGGTGGTGCGGGGGAAGCCAGACCTGAGGGCACCGCAGCAGAGGTCGGAGGCCTGTGGCTGGCCCCACATGGGGGGGGGAAAGGGGGGCTCACACTCACCCCAGGCCATTGAGCTCGTCAGTGGAAACAGGACAGACGTAGTCATCGTCCTCACTGGTGAGGCCGAGCTCAGCGCCGTAGCCCTGGTGAACAATATGCCAGAGCTCCCGGGGAGACAGCGTCTGGGGGCGGGAGACAGCGTCGGGTGGGGCGAGAGACAGCGTTGGGGGGGACAGAGTTTGGGGGAGAGAGACAGCTTGGGGGGGGCAGGCTGGGGGGGAGAGAGACAGCGTCGGGGGACAGCGTTTGCGGGGGGAGAGAGACAGCGTCGGGGGGTGGGCAGTGTCTGGAGGGGA